ACGGAAAAAAAAAAAAAAAAAAAAAAAAAAAAAAAAGTGCATGAGGAAGGAAAAAGAAGGTAGCATTTTAAGTGTCGGTAGTAGATATGGTAGTAATAAGAACAGCAACCGAAAGTAAGTGGCATGAAGAATAATTCTAGGAAAATGTGGCAGAATGGCAGAGAGGTGGGGAACAAATCATCAGTACTCTGCTGCAGCATCAGGCTATGTGTGTAGATACCTATAATGTGAAAAGAATAATCCTATCAAGTCAGAAACAATATTTGATAACTTTATTGCAAAGGCTAAAAAAGAATTTGAAACCCAAATAAAGTCATTAGGTCACAAAATCAGTATTTATCATGACTCATTGTTGACTGTAAAACAAATTTATTGGGCTATGTAACCTTCAAAAAGGAGAGCACGGGGAGAGGGTAAACAGAATGGAGAGCACTGGACACAGAAAGGTTCAATATTGTTTTGTTAACATTTGCTTTATTTGTTTGTGTATGTGTGGACTTAGTTGTGATAGAAAATACATTTCTGCATAATGGTCAAAAAGTTTAAGACATGGATAATAGGACATGATTATGAACATATGTTTATGAAGCAAACAATAACATCTATATTTAGGAAGATCGTGGAATTAGAAATAACTGTTTACCAAATAAATGCCAACAAATGAATATACCCCAAAGAGAAAATAATATTCTATAATTAAGAATTTTAAGGGAGACTGACTGTGAGGTAGTTGAGAGAAGAAATCATACCATACTTTTCTTTGTATCCAAAGCATCTAGACTACTGTCAGCCCCAAGGTACTCTATAAGTGTTGGATGATTTGAACAGAATTTGATGATCCAACACGAAGTCTCAGTATTCATTTTTTTTCCTAATTTTTTTTTTNTTTTTTTTTTCGAGGAATCTCCATTTGACATAATGGCTATACTAGTTTGCACTCCCACCACAGTGTGGAAGTGTTCCTTCTTCTAAACATCCTTGCCAACACTTGTTTTCTTTCATCTTTTTGTATGTTTGTTTTGGCAGCTGGTTGGTACAGGGATCTAAACCCTCGACCTTGGTGTTATAACACTGCACTCTAACCAACTGAGCTAACTAGCCAGCCCCCAAATTTACTCTTTAAATGGACACGTATTAAACACCTAGGGTCAAATCTGGTTCTTATTAGTATGTACAATAAACACTTCTTTCAAGACAAATGAGTAGTAGCTATTGTCTAAGCAGGGTGGTCCTTAAAGATATAACCCAGGGATTTACAGATTGTTCTCAAAACTAAAATTAGTTTGAGGACTACTGCTGTGCTATAGCACATTTTAGGTCGACTTTTTCTGAAGTCTCCATGAAAATCTGAGATGGCAAACTGGCTAAAATACGCAAGTAGGTTCAGTAGATCCCA